GTGGCAATGAGAATGATCTTTTTATCGCAGACCACAGTTGGACTCCTGGGGAATTTCTTTCTTCTTTACCATTACAGTTTCCTTTATTACACCAGATGCACATTAAGGTCCACAGATGCGATTCTCAAGCACCTGACTGTAGCCAACTCCTTGGTCATACTCTCCAAAGGAGTCCCCCAGACAGTGGCTGCTTTTGGGAGGAAATGTTTCCTGAATGATGTTGGGTGCAAACTGGTTTTCTATGTTCACAGAGTGGGCAGGGGTGTGTGCGTTGGCACCACCTGTCTCTTGAGTGTCTTCCAGGCCATCACCATCAGCCCCGCAGGCTCCAGGTGGGCAGAGCTGAAACCACAAGCTGCTCAATGCATTGGGCCCCTCAGTATCCTGTGCTGGATCCTGAACATGCTGGTAAATACCATTGTTCTTCAGAGAGTGACTGGCCAGCAGAACAGGGTAAACAGCACAAAGGAAAAGGATTTGGGATACTGTGCTGCAGTAGATTTTGACAGCAGCATTTTAGGATTCCTACATATTATGTTGTTATCATCCTATGATGTCTTGGGTTTGGGACTCATGACCTGGGCCAGTGGCTCCATGGTTTGCATCCTGCACAGGCACAAGCAGCAGGTCCAACACATTCACAGGACCAACCTCTCCCCCAGATCCTCCCCTGAGTCCAGAGTCACCCAAAGCATCCTTGTCCTAGTGAGCACCTTTGTAGCATTTTACACCCTCTCCTCTATCTTTACATTACTGTTGACCATTTTGCCTAATCCAGGTCTGTGGCTGGTGAACACCTCTGCACTAATGGCTGCTTGTTTTCCTACAGTCAGCCCCTTTGTTCTCATGGGCCGTGACCCCAGGATACCCAAAATCCACTCCACCTGCTGTTGAAGAAATACAATATTCTCTAAGCTAATACAATTCCTCTAAATTTTATGTGGTTTGTAATATTTCATTATGCACTGTGCAGTCATTTATTCCTTTCTTGCAGAGGTTTAACCACCACTATGATCAGTCAGATAAGAGAGAGTGTGTGAACCCCAGACCCAGACCCTGCCCTCATAGGATTTATCACATGGTATGAATAGTAGGCACAGCGTGAATATATTGAAACTGCTTTCATAATTTCTGTTTTATGAATTACTTCAGTGGAAAAGCTTAAAGGTAAGAATTATTTTAATTCTGGACCTCTACCAATTTGGAGAATAAGGAAGCTTATAAGAGTGTGCGACTTTAAACCAGTTAATTTAAAATGTCCTGAAATTATCTCGGCACAGAAGCATAATAACAGTTTAATTAAGTGGGAAAAAGTGGGTATTAAACAATCATAAAACTGGAAAGAAAAAGCAGTAACTCCACAGCAAGTGTCCAGCATAGAGCTTGAGGGAAATAATGTATCAGACATTGCATGGCATCAAAGACCAGGTTTTGTCATTTTACCTTAAATCCCAAAAAGAAAGTTAGTCATTTGAAATATGTAATTTTTTTGTGGGAGCAGAGTAACATATTTTTTCAAATATTTTCAGGTAAAAATGTACACAAAAACCTGGGTGGGTCAAAGTGAGCACAAGAATCTTGTTAAGGGGTCTGAGTTAGAATTTAATTCACAGCTAATAAATATGAGACTTATTAAGGAAAGAAAATTGTTTTGGGAACCCTTTGAAGGTGAACTATTTTGTGTCAAGCAATGATCTAAATTAGCCTGTTCTGAAGAGACAGGCTACAT